GCCCTCCATTCCCGGTGCCCGACCCGCAGATCCCGGCATCCCCGGGGTTCCCTGCGAGTTCCCCTTTCCCTTCCCACCCGGGTCTCTCCCCAGCGCCTTCCTGTGCCATCTCCCCCTTTTCCACGGAGGTGTCTGCACTTCCCAGCTGATCTCCCCCCGCTCCCGGGGCGCTGAGGGGCTTTCCCGCCCCCCGCCCCTGCCAGCAGGTCCCTCAGCACCCTGAGTTCCCCCTCAGCCCGTCCCTGCCTGCGCTCCCTCCCTGGCAGGGGGAAGATGAAGTAGGGCCCTGACCATGGACCATGATGCCCCCACCATCAGGCCACGCCGCATCCAGAACCAGAACGTCATCCACCGCCTGGAGCGCCGCCGGATCAGCTCGGGAAAAGCCGGCACCCACTGGCACCAGGTCCGCGTCTTCCACCAGAACGTCTTCCCCAACTTCACCGTGGTCAACGTGGAGAAGCCGCCCTGCTTCCTGCGCAAGTTCTCCCCCGACGGCCGCTACTTCATCGCCTTCTCCTCGGACCAGACCTCGCTGGAGATCTACGAGTACCAAGGCTGCCAGGCGGCTGAGGACCTCCTGCAGGGCTACGAGGGGGAGATCCTGGCCAACGGCAACGACCAGAGAGCCGTCAACATCCGGGGGCGGCTCTTCGAGCGCTTCTTCGTCCTGCTGCACATCACCAACGTGGCCTCCAACGGCGAGCACCTGAACCGGGAGTGCAGCCTCTTCACCGACGACTGCCGCTACGTCGTCGTGGGCTCGGCCGCCTACCTGCCCGAGGAGCCCCACCCGCCCTTCTTCGAGGTCTATCGCAACAGCGAGTCCGTCACCCCCAACCCACGCTCCCCCTTGGAGGATTATTCCTTGCATATCATCGACCTGCACACCGGCAGGCTCTGCGACACCCGGACCTTCAAGTGCGACAAGGTCATCCTGTCACACAACCAGGGGCTGTACCTCTACAAGAACATCTTGGCCATCCTCTCCGTGCAGCAACAGACCATTCACGTCTTTCAGGTGACGCCCGAGGGCACCTTCATCGACGTGCGGACCATCGGGCGCTTCTGCTATGAGGACGACCTCCTGACCCTGTCTGCCGTGTACCCCGAGGTGCAGCGGGACACTCAGACGGGGATGGCCAACCCCTACAAAGAGCCCTTCATCAACTCCTTGAAGCACAGGCTGCTGGTGTACCTGTGGAGAAGGGCCGAGCAGGACGGAAGCGCTATAGCAAAACGGAGGTTCTTCCAGTACTTTGACCAACTGAGGCAGCTCCGCATGTGGAAGATGCAGCTGTTGGATGAGAACCACCTCTTTATCAAGTACACCAGTGAAGACGTGGTCACGCTGCGAGTGACGGACCCTTCCCAGGTACTGTCTGTCTCCTCGGGCTGCTCGGTGCTTTGGGGCAAGTGCTCGGGAAGGTGCAACACCAGGAGCTGCCTTAGCTGAGCCTGAGAATGTTGTTTGTGATCTCTGATACTTCATTCTTCTGTGAATATCTGGTGCCTCTGGCGTTGAATAGCTTTAGTGTCTTTAGCTCTCCTAATTTCCTGGCTTCCTTCTCAACTAAAAACAGGAGAGAAAAGATATGACGTGGTCATTGACTCCCGTTTCTCCGGGCATTGTTTCTCATGCTCCTAGATCCTGTACAACCCTCTTCCTCTCTCACATCCCCAGCTATTGGTTTCTTGTAGCTGCTATTTCATGTAATTAAAGGTAGTCTCTCCCTTTTCTCATGTATCTTCAAGCATGTTTTAAGATACAATAGTCTTAATTTTTCCCCAGTAGGATTACCTTTCCTGTTCTGCCTGTGTACTTACTCTTTCAGTCTTCTGTCAGAGATAGTATTTATCATCTCTCCAAACTGGAGTAGCAGCTCTTAGATGTAGCTAATGTTCCAATTGCTTCTCCTTTCAGTTTAGTACTAAAGAGGTCGAATTAGAGCAAATGTAGCTCAGGCAGTGCTGGCTCCCTCCAGGCGTTTCACCATCCTGCAGGTTGATCATCTTTTTTTCACTCCTGTTAGAGAGGTGGTCAGGTTTTCAGCTCTGAAACTGAGAAGGATTTTATTTTTTTAACCTATTCTGTGCCTTTAATTTGCTTGGGTTTTATTCTGTTGAAAGAATTCAGCAAGAGTTTGTAATAAATCTCCAGTACTGCATGTAGGTCTGATTGTTCCCGAGATGTTTGTTTTTCTTTCACAGCCTTCTCTTCCTGTCTTTGCCAGATCCAGGACATTTCTGGGAAGAAATGGACAGTAGTTTTTTGTGTGTTGCCTTAGTCTAATTCTTCTGGAAGATGACTCTGGTTTGTTTTATTTTTCGCTTACATACTGTTTGTTTGGGGGAGTTGCTTTGGGAGGGCATAGGTGAGGTATCTAACAGGTTAGGTATCTTACCAATTTTACCCACCTGTGTGAAATTGAGTGGCTGTCTTAAAGACATGAAAGCTTTGTGGAAGTGGCCTGCAGTGTTCTGCTTGTTCCTGGTGTCTGGAATGGTGCTCCTGACCCTGATGTAAATGTTTGTAGCTGGCTGGGCTCTGCTCCTGGCTCTTGGTTGCCAAACCTTTTGTGCTTGGTTTATTCCAGCAGGCTCTTGACTTCCTTCAGTTATGGGTTACTGTCAGATGCAGGTGTGGTTTGTTTGGGGCCTTCCTCAGGCAGTGAGTTTTCTGCTGGAGGAAAAGCATCTCATTTCTCAGTTCTTTCAGGAGATAATTCCAGGTGTGGAGCAGTCTCCATAGATCTGCCTGAATGTAGGCTTTGTATTAGGGCTTCCTGAGGAAAATCTGGCTCACATAATGTGTAAAGCTCTGATTTTTCTTCTGTCTATCAGGGAGGAACATGAGGTTTCATCCAATTTCAGGGTCCTCTCTTCTCCGTGGCTTCTTCGCCAAGAAGGCTGAGGAAGTCACTGTTCATACTTGTGGGTTGCTTGTATTTTGTCACGGTCTGCATGGAATCCTTTAAGATTTTTACGGGCCTGCTGCCATTATGTGTAGCTTGTTGTTTTTTGCTTTTGTTCTAGGCTTGCCTCGATAAACTTGCCATCTTTGCCACATATTTTTGTGACACTCCTCTTGTGCCACCCATGCTGGGATGGGGTTTTGCCTGTGTCACAGGTGCTGCTAAAAAGCAGTGAGGGTAGTTTCTCTGGTCAGTGGCATCCTGCAGGTGTGTCTGTGTGCTAACCAGGCAAAGGAACTTCTTTACTGAAGGTTGGAGGAGACTCCCTGCCATCTTCATCAATGTGTATTGTTTTTCCTGCTGCTGTCTCCTCTTATTTTCTTCCTGCTCCAGCCCTGTATTTCAGAAGGGCTTCCCTTTCCCCAGGCAGAAGTCTAATGAGTAGCCTCATCTTGTGTGCTTGATTTTTGGCATGTGGGGGCTGGATTGTATTAAGCACAGTTTATTTTGGGGCTGTAAACCAAACAGACCTTGTGATGTTTGCAGGTGGGTGGGGTGGACAGAGTGCTTGCCATCATCCCTGAGCACTGCTTGGGAGCAGGGGGTGAAGCGTTTAGAAATTGCCTTCATTGACAGAAGATTTAACCAGGTTTGTGCAAATACCACGGGAATTAGTTACCTTTGAAGTAGGGACAGGTTCTTACCTTTGGATGCTGAGGTGTTAGCATTCCGATCTCTTAAGGAAAGCTACCTGTTGTGACCAAGGATTACATCTACCCCTTTCCAGTGGGATGGGAATATCCTCTCCCTTCAATGTAGCTGTGCTGACACAGTGTCACCTTTTTCCTCATTTCTTGCTTGTTCATGCCATGCAACACTGCCAACCCACAGTGCAGTACCTGGGCCTTCTTGCAGGAGAATATCAGCATTAAAAATAGGTCATTAATGTCTTTCAAATGTTCATTTCTGTGCTGGCAGAGTACCTGGAGGGCACAGCTTTTTGTGGGCAGTGGTGTAGTGCACAGTACACTCAAAAGGCTCATCTCTGTGTGATGGAAATATTAAGAAGGGGAAGAAAATAATATCTTGACACAAAGGAGAAAATAATTTGTGGCCAGCTAACACTGGATTTAAGATAATTTGTCAGCAGG